TATCGTTAGCCTCATTGGGTTAGGTGAGAGTCCACACTTACTACTGAGGGTAGTGTTTACAATGTTGAAGAAGCCAAGTTGTCGTTAGTGTGGAGTCTATCTTAGGTAACTTGTGTAGTCAGCAGTATCAGTTTGCACATGAGCTGCATTAGAAACGTCTTGAGTGACAGACAAGCCAGCTGCAGTTGTGCAGGCCTTTCACACAGGCTTTCCCAAGCAAGACTACAAGCTAATGATGTTACACATGACATGAGAGATAAATAAACATACACCACTACTTTTGCATGAAGCCCACTCAGTTTACGCCTGTATTGTGAAGTAACAAGGCCAATGTTGTATCTGTGGCCTCTATGTATTCATCTTTTTCCTTTTGCAGGTGTGGAAATGTAAATTTTGCTCGAAGGACAAGTTGCAACAGATGTGGCAGCGGTGAGTCCTTCTTGCATATTGTTAAATCTAGATTCAGGCTTCATACATTCTTTCAAAAGGCTGCTGTACTGAAACAACATTGTTATGCTTCCTCAGAGAAAACCACAGAGGCCAAAATGATGAAAGCTGGAGGGACAGAGATTGGAAAAACTCTGGCTGAGAAGAGTAGAGGCCTCTTCAGTGCAAACGATTGGCAATGCAAAACGTAAGGTGTATTGTAAATTACAAGGAACTACCAAAATGTTTGATTAACCACTCAATTGAGCAAATTAACTAAATAGTTTACTGTATACACACACATGATTATGAATACACAATAACCTTTTTGTTTCCAAATTAGCTGAAACATTTACTTTCCTATTTCTATTTTTAAACGTGTTGAGTTCTTACAAATTCTTATTTTACTCTTCTACTCTCGTACAGATGCGGAAATGTCAATTGGGCCAGGAGGTCAGAGTGCAACATGTGTAACACCCCAAAATATGCCAAGCTCGAGGAGAGAACAGGTATGTCAACAAATGTGTATTTTGGCAAGTCTTGGTTTGTTTGAAAACTAGTTTCTAAAGCCTATTTTCCCCCTTTTCGCCATTCAGGTTACGGTGGAGGTTTCAATGAAAGAGAAAACGTGGAATACATTGAAAGAGAGGATTCTGACGGTGAATATGATGAAGTGAGTTGTAACTTGCAATGTTTTCTGGTTCATCATTTCGGTTGACTTACTGCCATGTACACATGTGGCATCTGAAATCTTCATTTCTAAACTGCTTTCTTATGTCACAGTTTGGTAGGAAAAAGAAAAAGTTTCGTGGAAAAGATGAAAAGAGCGAACCTGAGAAGAAGGTAGTAGTACCAATTAAAGTTCAAGCTCCCGACGACGAGGAAGATGAAGAGGATGAGGATGAGGAAGAGGGTGACCTTTCCAAATACAAATTAGATGTAAGATTGGTTGCTGGATCCTTTCAATTCAAAAGAAAACATTTTGTTTTAAATTAAAATACTATACAATGATTGTGTTATAACCAACACGTCTTCTTAAGGATGATGAAGACGATGACGAAGATGGAGACCTTTCAAAGTACGACCTGGACGCTAGTGAGGATGAGGACAAGGACAAAGACAAAGACAAAGACAAGGACAAGGACAAGGACAAGCCAGCTCAGAAAAAGGGCAGCCATTCGGGTTCGTCCCGCTCCGGCTCCTCCTCGCGCTCCTCCAGCTCCAGTTCACGGTCGAGGTCCAGGTAAAAGGGTACAGGTCAAGGGTAACTCCGGGCAAAATGTCAGTATCAGCTCAATCTTCCTTCTGAATTACCGATCCACATTAATACATGTCTTGTTCTGCCGATTTGTTGTTTTCTCAACCCCTCCCCTACTGTGGTGTTAGAACCTTGATGTGCAGAAGTTTCTCGATGTCGCTTTATGTTTTGAAGCGCCTGACTTTTATTAGAACAAATGCATTGTTGATATTCTAGTCTTGAAATGCACCTTGAATATCTGTTTGAATTTTGTACCTGTTTTCGTTGTCTTTCTATTTACTTGGTTATTTCACCAAACCCACAAAAGCATCTTTTGCTAGTCTAAACATGTACTCGTCAGTTAAGCTGTACTGTAAGGAATAGTCTAACTGAAATACTGTCCAACGGTTTGTACAATCCTGTGTGACCCGTCCAGGTATTTGTCTTGTTCAGAAAATATTGGAAAGGTTTTTTTGTTTTGTCTTTCAGGTCCCGCTCTAGAAGCTCATCAAGTTCCAGGTCTGGATCTCGCTCCAGGTCCCACTCCAGGTGAATGAGGTGACATGCACTCTCTCCCTTGGAGAGTGTATGTACAGGGCAAAGCTCCAGAGCAATCCTACTCCCCAGCTAACATTTGAACAAAGACTGGATTCACAATCTGCCTTGACGCTTTCAAATAATTTGATGTAGGGTTTTTTCAAGTTTAATTTAGGACCGGGAGTATAAATGGTACACAGTTTAACTATCTGAACTAAGATTTAATGTTACCAAAGCTAAAACGTCTAGAGCTTGAGTTTTAATCTCACACTCTCAATAAGAGTGCTTTAATGATATTGACTTGATGCTAAACATTTCCTTCAGCATCTTGGGATAACCTATATTTAAGTGCTCTTAAACTTGATAAAAACCGACGCTGATGGGACTGTGTCTTGACCTTACTGACCCTAGTGCTTGGTTTATTCCTCCAAAAGATCCAGTTCCAAGTCTGGAAAGGGCTCCTCTCCCCGGAAGAGGTCCCGCTCCCCCTCCTCCTCACCTGAGAGGGGACAGAAGCGCAGTCGCTCCAGGTCCTCATCTGGAGAGAGAAAGCGGAGGCGCTCTAGATCACGTTCGTCCGAAAGGTTTGGGTTTCTGTGGAATACCACAATGGCACTGATTCTTATTAGCCATCTGTCGCCTCGCTTATGGGAGTTCAGATTTATAGAAATATCCTCACATTTTGCCTTGTTATATTGTTTTTACATACATTTGTTAACCTTGTTGTTGTTTCAAGAATGCATAGGTGAATGTTAACATCTGAGCCTGCTGACCTTGTCTTTCTTCCCGTGGTGTTTGTGTGATTTCAGGTGCCGTGGGCAGTCCTCTGGATCCTCCCATTCTGGCTCCAGCTCAAAAAAGAAATAACTTTAACGCCTTAAAAACAAGAAAAGGAACCTTAGTAGAAAAGTGCATGTTGTGTTGGAAGCAAAACAACCACATCATTTCAGTATGATGTCCATTTTCATAAAAAAAAAAAAAGTCTTATTTTCTTCAAAAACAGTGGCAACATGACTCCCTCTGCCGATGCACGTCATCCCTTTTTAAAACCACCTACACCCCAAACTGTGACAAGTGTCTGTAACTGCAGGTGTCCAATAAACACAAGTGTTTAGTCCCATATGAAAATCAGATGAACTGTAAAAAGGCAGTAGGCCACTTAAAAACGCATATCTTTGTAGCAGTACATTTTATTCCACGCCTCTGTGGGGAAATTAAAGTGATCATTTTTGATTATATTTTTTCCGTGGCCCTAGAAATATCTGATATTGTGGTACTTTTATTTTTTTAAATACTTTCATTTTTTTTTAAATAAAATATGAAGTACTTAAGCATCAACTTGCTATAACAGATATAGCAATTAATATTGGTTTATTTCTTTTTTTTTTCTTAAAAATATTTTTTTGCTTTGTCAAGGTAAGTATTTTACTTTTTGATATTGCGTGTTTTAACTAAATGGCTGTAAATTCCACATTCTTTGGTTTAGGTGTTTAGTGTTGTATTTCTCTTTTTTTTTCTCTTTACACAATTGTCACACGTTACAATTTTAAAGTTATACCTTCTCATTTGTCACCTGGGAAACTAAAACATTCAATAAGTTATTAATTAATAATGATTAATATTTGTACTTAAGATTAGTACTTCCAGAATAACAAACACCATACAGTATATCCTGATTCATGGTAGAAAGTGGCAATACAGTCTTTAATGGTGAAACAACTCAAATGTACACGTGTAAATAAAATCCTGTTGACTGTTACTTTGTTGTTGCGTTTGATTTAGCCAAGATTAGGGCGGGGAGTCCAGAAAGATCTATTATATTAGCTTACTTTTGCAGATGTGTATAAATAATCAGTTTCACTACCAGTTTTGTAGCTATGGAGGCTTTTGATAGCTAATGATGTTTTGTTATTGCACACAAATGGCAAAAATCGACCATGAGGTTCAAACAAGTTCACAATACAGATCTGATTTTAAAAAATAGGGGAGGAATAAAGACAACGGTGTTTAAAAAATGTGTAACAGCTCATATTAAAAATTAGCTATTTTTTATTATAAGGTAAACCATTAAATGAATAAAAACTCCTGACTAGTTGAATTTTGAATGGGCTTTAGACTTGTGTTGTCGTTCTCTATGTGGTCAGCAGGTGGCACTGCTGTTATCGTCCTGAGTTTAACAGAGGGATGGGTACACTGGGGTGCTTAACTTAGTGGTCAATGAGTTCGAGTATCGGTGTCTGATACATGTCCCGGGCTGCATTCAAACGTGAGTTAAAGTTGGTTAACAAGTGTTCGTAGGTTGGAAATATTAGAAGCTGCAACAACGTGCTGTTAGTGTATCATCTGAGTAGGCTAGTAGTGAAATGTGTTCATGCTCTAATCTAAATTCACATATAGTACATAAACTATTTGTATGAGAAACCATTAATAGCCTACCTTCTTATCCCTTAAAGCAAATGTCCCCATGATCATCAACCAGATGTAGCCTAATGATTTAATATGTCTTTTTAGTGCCATTTCTCTCGAAGAGGTGCAGAGCAGGTTTATTGTTACCTAATTTATCCGACAAGTCTTCCCATATGCTCACCACCAAGATGTGATAATCTCCAGCATCATGATTTTAGTTTGTCGAGCACCGAAGCAGCGATAGGGTTGCACCTAAAGTGCCTGTAGCATATTTATAAATGGAACGTATAAGGATATCACCTTCACAGACATCACACAAGGTTTTCATAAAAGTGCCGTACAGTTTAGAAAGTGTATTTTGAACTATGTGCCTCTGTTTGATTTTCTGGGTAGTCCCGCCTCCAGCGCGTAAAAAGGAGCCGACGCGCTTTTACGCACTTCATTCAGCTGGAGCGCAAGAGGATGCCTGACACATACCTGTGTTATCTGCTGCGTACAAGCTTACCCTTTCCGAAACTATGTACAAGGACCGCTGTGATTCTGTAGGGGGGTTGAAAAACTTGATTGGAGAGATGATGGACTTCAACGTCTCCAGGTCATTGCGCGAAAGCAATGCCACCAAAAACTCCAGTTGTGGATCTGTATCAGTTGGTTTCCCTATAGTCATGATGATTACTGGCATAGTGGGCAACACATTAGCTCTTATTCTGGTGTATGTATCTTACAAAAAGAAGGAAAATAAAAGGAAAAAGTCGTTCTTGCTTTGCATTGGATCACTGGCGTTAACTGACTTGTTTGGACAGCTTTTGACAAGTCCAATAGTGATATCAGTTTACAGGGCGGACCTGAAGTGGGAGCGCATCGACTCATCGGGCAAATTATGCGGTTTTTTCGGTGTGTGCATGACAACATTTGGCCTGTGCTCTCTCTTCTTGGCCAGCGCCATGGCAATTGAAAGGGCTCTGGCGATAACAAATCCACACTGGTACTCCAATCACATGAAGACAAGTGTGACAAAGCAGACTTTGGCTGTCATCTGGTGTCTTGTGTTGCTCTTTGCGCTGCTGCCCATTGCAGGGGTCGGCGAATATACGCGCCAGTGGCCGGGCACCTGGTGCTTTATCAGCACGGGGGACAGGGAAGTCCCGGGCAATATGTTTTTCGCCATCACTTTTGCTGTACTTGGGATTTTCTCTCTGCTTGTTACACTTTCCTGCAATGTAGTGACAATCCGTGGCTTAATTATCCGGTGTAAAACAAAGTCTGGCACTTCTCAGTCTTCAAAGCAGTGGGAACGGCTCACCACGGAGACCGTCGTTCAGCTGTTAGGGATTATGTGCGTCCTTCTTATATGCTGGTCTCCTCTGCTGGTATGTTTTTATACGCGACTCAGCCTTTCACTTTCTTACAGCATGCATTCACTAGTTCCTATGGCCAAATGAAATTGAGGATATAAGAAAGATTTAACATACAGCATATTTTCTAAAGATGCTTGTTTCTTTTCATACAGTAAAAGCTTTTATAGTAAATTGCCCAGTGTCTTTATTCACAGATCAATTTATTTTATTGTCACTTGCAGATCTTTATATGTGGAAATGTTTCGACAGAAAGCAAGAGCAAACGCTGCACATCCTTATATTTTCTCCTTAAAAATCTATTCACTATCTCACACTATTTTACTCTTATCTCGCACACACACAAACCACACTTGCCACTCACATAAAAGCTGTCATGTATGATCCTTTTAAATGCTGCTGACATTTTCCATTAAGGGGAAATCCACTTATCTGAGTCCTGGTAGGGGGTCTGCTCAGTCTGCTATGAGGTCATACATTATCAGGCACATGTTTAATAGTCCCAAAGATATTATTAGAAGCAACAGTGATGGTAGAGCGTGAGCACCTAGAGCGTGAACATCATGCTTTCCTAGTTTGATTCAGTATAGCTGCTCACGGCTGTGGTGAGATTTGTGACATTTAATATATAAGAAGTATTATTTCAGTAATCAAGTGTGCATAACCATTTGAAAGGCTTTCTCAATGTTACATTTTGAGTGAAGAAGATAGTTTGTCCTTATTATTCTCTAGTGGTACAAACAACATGTGCCTGCCTCCCCTTTCAGGTGCTGATGCTGAGGATGATCTCCCACCAGGTATCTTCCCACGAGTGCAACTCAACAGCAGTGACCTCCAGTCATAACGCTAGCCGGGACGTCCAGTTAGACTGTAACTTTTTCCTCACAGCAATCCGCTTGGCCTCCCTCAACCAGATCCTGGACCCATGGGTCTATTTGCTCCTCAGAGAGATCCTCCTACGCAAGTTCTGCTTAGTGGCTAATGCAGTGTCCAACTGCTCCATAGAGGAACCGAAGGAGACCCAGACGGCATTGGACGCCCTCAATAAGGAGAACCATCAAGACAGCAACAACCTTGATAAACCACAAGGTAGCAAGGATGTCAACATTTGACAGGAATTACTATCATGGCTTTAAATTCAGACAGATTGGATGGAAGAGAATATGGAAACACGATTTTCATGGATGTGTCCGAACATCATGTTAACAAAGGGTCTCTCCATGTTCTGGACAGAAGGTTATTGTACAGTGGTCTCAGTTGCAGTCTTAATAAGAACAAGCCAAGTCTGCTCGGGGTGCTTTGTTTTGTTTAAAACACATTCCATCCGAAGTCACCAAACCAGCATGTGGATGCATGACCTTGTCAAGCGTTACATTTGGCTGCAGCGCGGCAAGTTTTCTGTTTTGATAACAGCATCTCCCAGGCTCAAGACCTGAATATGGTGGACTCTAAATGGACTTATATGGAAGTAATCCATCTTGTGCTCTTGCAAATTGCTTTAGCCAAATTGAAGCCATAAACCAGCTAAAGGACTAATGGATTTTCCGTATGTCTAAAAATTAAGATGGAAACTGTACATTTGCATATATTAAGATGTAAATAGGACTGCCATATCTTACATTAAATGTAGCCATAGAGGTTGTTCTGAAAAAAATACAATCCTAAACTGGAGCCAATTGTTGATTGTCAGATTATTTATTAGTGTCTGGTGTTATAGTGACTTCTGCGCTGAATCATGCTAACTGCTGGGTATCAGTTGTTGTAAATTGTATAGTATAATGTACGTTGTTTTCCTCGGGTTAGCAGCCAAAAAAAATGATGTGAAGCTTTTAGTTTTATGCCACGTTCGCCCTTGAATATGAATGCACTGGTAGGTTTTTTGTGCAATTACATGTATTTTTATCAGCAATGTTCTTTTCAGAATAGCTTCATTCCAGTCTTTTGAACCAATTGTATGTGGCAAATAACTGTAAATGTGTGTTTTTCTGGCAGGGTGGCATTATTATAATGTGGTTACATGGCTGTCAATGTCTCACTGAGAACTCCTTGTTCAGTAAGTTCATAATGGAACAAAAGGACAATATGTTCATATAAGTAGAGACAAAGGTACTGTTTGGATACAAGTCTGAAAACAGGAAAATAATGAAATAACGGAAGCTGTGTCCAAATAATACATAGCATAAAACATCTTAAACATGAAAAGCTATTTTGGCACTCTTGAAACATATGCTTTAATTACTCAGATTTAAGAATTCATGCTTATAATTATGTGGTGGTGATTGCCTTGAACATGTTGAATTTGTTGTTCTACATTTAAAATGTTCTTAACAGCCAAACTGTGTCCACCTTAATGCTACCTCTCAATATAAGTATATGCTCATTTTCCTTAAACGTGTACAGTGGAAATCACCATAGGTCTGAGATAAAATGAAGGTTATTTTTCATCTTTGTTCTTAGTGCCAATGTAAGTACGAGTGCTGTTGGCAGGAAATGGCAATCAATTCCTTTACTACGGGCTACGTCGTCATGTATAGCGCTGTAAATATATTCATAGAGGTCCAGCATCTTAGGCAAAGACATCTCAAGGATGGACACGTTTTTTAATTTCATGGTAACCTCCAGGTTATGGGGACCCTTTGTCACACTTACACATCAGCCAAAAAGATTAGATATGTGTGGCTTCTGCTTTGCCAGGTCTTGCCTTTGCCTCTTGAAAGGGCGAGTTCATACAAGCTCAGTGATAATGACACTATAGGAAACTATTTTCTGTGAAATCCATGTAAAGAAATAGCATTTTCTATTTACAGATATAGAATTCATCTTAGATGATTGTGAATCTGATCAACTTGAAATATAAATGTTGTTTGTTGAGGGGAAACAAGAATATAGAGGAAATCAAAGCATTTGTTCATGGGGTATATTGCACAATATTTGTCAATATTCACGATTGTTCTGAAGCTCATTGCTATATATGAATGTGCAAAAAACACCAATATGTTCCTCAACAAGTATTAAGTTTCATTAAGTGCTATTACACTAACTTGATTGTTCATTCTAATGAATGCTTCAATAATCGAGGTTGTGGATGTGCATGATGAGTAGCCTATTTATACCATGCTTACAGTATGTTCATCTGCTGGAGTTCAATAATCACTTGACCAGAAGCATCTGGGATTTAAGTCAGGCATTTAAAACAATGATTACATTTGTTCGCAGGTTGCAGTGGGATATGGGTTTACGATTGACTCAATTAGCTTCCATGTGAATCTGCGTCATGTAATTATCTCGGTTCTCCGTCCAGGAAACATTGAAGCTTCCTGGTCTTAGGTAAATAAAGAATAAGTACACAAAGTACTATCCCCTTAAGGCTAACTGGCCTTGCATTTGTTGTTGATTTTCCATGGCGTTGCATCCCGCCAAACCCTGCAGTGGAAAGGAAAATGGCAGAATGAATTGTCATTACTTCTAAATTGAAAACATCACACCACTCTGGACACAGTGAAGGAACAAGGAGAGCATTCTGTGTTTCTGCAGTGCAGGAGAGATACACTGGGATATGATCATGCAAACTCCAGTTTATGGATCCACACTGGTTTATCTTCGATGACTCAAGATATCCTTGTAAAGAGGTGTCAGGATTTAATTTTCTCTCTGCTACCAACACACATCTGCATTTAATTCTCAAGCTTCAATTGTGCTGAGTGTGAAGTTTTGATAGCGTGCTTGGATGATGATCATTTGCAGCAGGAATTGGTCCTTTCGGAACGTAATTACGCAATTAGAGTTCTGCACTAACATCGAATAGAGCTTTCAATTACATAATTCACTCATGTAACCAATGTATGAAAGTGCTTTTCTGATGTTCTCAAGTGCTCAGGAGTCACTAGATTTCAAGACAAGAACGATTGTTCATCATCACTTGATATTTTTAAATTAAGCTCAATTCTCATGTGGTTTATAATTTTGTTTTAAGTATTACGCACCAATGGGAACAAGGCTTTCTCTAACTTCCTTAAAAATCCTGCAGCACGATGCAGGATACTTTATGACCCTTTGAAAAACATCTGCGAGAATGTTTTTCTTTGACTGTCTCTGTAACATATATAACACTAATATTGCCCTCTATCAACCTGAAGTGAGGTAGAAAAACTAAAAAGCATCTAATTCTTGTAATTTGATACGGTCACTTGTGGAGTAAACGACTGATACATACATGATGGCACTTTGTTGTAATTTCGTGCTGACCTGGCAGGTTTAAGAAGGAAAGAATCTCTAAAGTATTTCTAAACAGCATGTGAAAGTACAATGGAAACAGGTTTGGCCCAGCAGCCACGGCTCCACTAATGAATGTAAATACATACCGGATGTCTATCAATGTCCATTTTCTTATCTGTTGTTCGCCTCTGCGTTTGAATGTTCAGCAATAGTTATTTACACTGAAGTGTCTCCAAACTCTGAGACTAGATTCTCAGATGAGGGCTATCTACACAGTTTCACATGGCTACCATTTCTTTGTCAGTGTTCTTTATCCTTTCACACTGTATCCAGGTGAGGAATGCTGTACATTTTGCAACCTTTTGTATTATTTTCCCTCAAGTACAAACCGTATGAACCATGTTGATGAGCTGGAAAAAAACTGAGAACACTACCTACCGATTAAAGTGTCCTTTTGGTGTTTTATGAGTTTGACCTCTACTTGAATTGAATCAGTTCAACATGCACTTTTTATTCATTTTGCAGCTGTGTTCTTGGCTATGTGGTGGTGCGATGATGTAATTCCATTAAAGGACATGAACTTGTGTTTTCAATATGTGTTGGGATTTGTGGCTGCTGAAGCATGTTTTCTTATTAAATATTCATACTCTCCAAAGTCAAGGGTATAGTGTTTTAGCAGTGTTCCTCTTCAAATAACTCTGCTTAGGCTGAGCCAAACAAAATATTGAAAAAAAAACTGAGGCATTAGATCGCTCTGGTGCATGCTCTCAGACTCATATCATTTTACCATGGATCTATGCTGGTTGGCTTTGTTGGCTTTTATTTGTATTTCTCGTACGTGTAACTTTCTTTGTTGAAATTGCTAACCGTATGAAAAAGATGATTTAACTGCGAGTGATGCTTTTCAGTGGAGAATGTTTTGAATACTGTGAATCATGTTAAAACCTGCTGGCCATTTTAAAGCATGTGTAATCTTCTATTGGTTGTTGACCTTGTGCAATGTGTTTCCCATGGGCCAATAAATTGAACAATGTGGTATGAAGTACTGTTAAGATCATTAATCCTTGCATACATACATTAAGCTAGAGATGTGATGCATGAGATTATGGTTTCAGGCTGTTTCTGTTTAATAGTGCAACTCTTATAAGTATATCGATCATATAATTCCTTCATATATTATACAGTATGTTGTTGAAGAGAGAGACATACCCAACAGGGCAACACCAAGTACTCAGAAGGATTGCATCGTCCTTGTGCTTAAAACAAATAATCATTTATACTTTTATGAGGATCCCCCATACTTTTTTTGCATTTATTTAATGTTTTCATGGTTACAAAAAATTATTTTGTTTGAGAAAGAGTCCAAAAAATGGTGTGGTGATCTTCTCAAAAGTCTTCACGAACTTCCTCAGAGTTTTAAAGTGAAAACTCGAATGCCAGTTAAATGGTAACGTCGTGAAGTGTTTGACCATGTTGGTGTAGCAAGCTTATTTTTTACTGTTAAAAGTACTTATTCAGATAAAAATAAGCTCTATTTTGTTTTCTTTCTTTAGACTTGATTCCCAGGATATTATTAAAGCTGTGCAGTAACTTTAAATATATTCAGATAACCTTAAAAAAGGTTATACAAAGCTTCAAGTGCTCAATGTGTAATCTTATCAGTTGCAAACATTCCGGACCGTGGTGAAACTGAAGTGTTCATCGAATATACCCTTCATAAGTAAAAGGTAAAAGGCTTTTCCATCGTGGTATACATTATAGCTGTGAATCATTTTTTAGGCCTTAATTAAATTGATCTTGAATTGTGTAAATCACCTGGCTGAGTGTCTTGGCTCCGCACCATGTAGTCATTTTATTGCTGAGTAAGGGCACTGTCTGCAACTGATAAATTCTAGTTGGCGCATTAAAGGCTTTATCCTCCTACTATTAGTTATCGCCGTTAAGCTCAACAGACTGAGGATGTATGAAGGTACAGAGAGAAGCACTTTAGTAGCAGAAATATTGTGCTATATCAATATGAATTATAGACAAAAAGCTCACTGCAGAGTGTGTGCAAAGGTGCTAGAAATAAGAAGAAAAGAAAATGTACACTTAAAAGCACAACATTAGAGATAGATAGATGAGCATGCTGGTGAGGTGCACCATTCTTGTTATTGGTGATGCAGAAGTGTCTGTCATAATAATTCATCTATTTCTCCTAAGTGTTTTAAAAGAAGGTTATTCTATATTCAGAGGCATTACAACTAGTCGGTGAGGTTGCACTTTTTCAATTATTTATAAAGTCTTACGTCTCTCAGCAGCAAAGCACTCACTGAACGAGTCATTAATTTAAAGGTAATACATCACAACACTTTTCTTTTTTGCACTAGGGCCTTAAATGCTGTCTTTAGAGATATTGGTCTTCTTCTCTAGACCATTATGCTAAGAGAGATAAATGAGGGTTTGCTCTAAATTACATAATAGCTCCTTAAGGGCCTCTCATTGAGGAGCGGAGGCATGGTTTTAACTAAATTAATCAGGTTGGTGATGTATGTTTCTACTTAACTTTGCGCATGCTTTTAATGTATACTTTAGATGTATGGACAAGGTCTTTGTTCACGGACTGTGCTGAGGCAACAGGGTGAGACGATGCTGCTGAGCTCTGTGTGAGGACGAAGGTCAGGTAAACAACCATGAAGAGTCAAAGGGTTGTGTGCTGGCTGCAGAGAAGATCAAGCAGCATCCTTGCCTCCAAACACAATTACTGTGCTGCAGGGGGAAAAGGTTGGGCTGTCTGTCCTCAGGCGATTATCCATTATGGCATAATGGTGATGTTGGTGCATGCTCCCACTGAGTGGCAATGAGGATGAATTTGAAGGAAATGTAAATCGTGTTTACTCAGTCGTCAGACAACAGAGATGTGATATCCTGTGGAAACAAACACATAATGCACAAATGTCCAAATAGTTCCAACAGGTGCTGTAAATCATTTTAGCAAATTGAAATCACCTCAACACTGTCATGATTTGATATATAGCTTGTCTCATTAATATTCACAATTTCATTGATTTTAGGTTAATCTTTCACCTGATTTATGTGTGTTATTACTGTAACATGGGAAGAGTTGTTGTCAGTCTTTGCGAGATCCCTATCAGTTTCTATCCCCCCAGTCTGTGGCTTTCTGCTTTTTAAACACAAACTAATGAAGCCATTAATCCATCCCACCCCTGCTTGGCACTTCCAGTCCATCAAAAACATCTATGGTCAACAGTTCTCTCATTGTTGCAGTCAGGCTTGAATCATTAAAAAGATGTGGCATTTTGTTGAGCCCCTGTTATATACCATATACCATGAATATGCTATATAAATGTGACACTTATTTTCATTACAGTTTTTCTCAATCGCTAAACCCACTTTTTAGAATCTAAATTCATTTCTTCAAAACAAGAGCATAGCCATCTAAACAGAAACACACTTGCCATAACTCTGAATATCTTTTGCAAGTTTCTGTTTAGATGGCTATGCTCTTGTTTTGAAGAAATGAATTTAGATTCTAAAAAGTGGGTTTAGCNGCATATTCAAGTATTAAACATAATTTGCCTACATTTGATTTATTTTGCTGACTTATAGGCAAGGCAAGGCAAGGCAAGTTTATTTATATAGCATCTTTCAACACAATGCAATTCAAGGTGCTTTACAAAAATGAAAGACATTCAGACAAAGGCATTTAAAAAAAAAGATAATAAAAGAAACATTAAAAGAAAAAATACATGAATAAAAATTACATGAATAAAAATGTAATTAATAAAAAGTTACAGTGCAGTTTAAGATATGAATAGTTCACACAGAAGTTCCACTTTACTGATGAACACAACGGCTCAGTTTCAATTAAAAGCAGCGACAAAAAGAAAAGTCTTCAGCCTGGATTTAAAAGTAGTAAGAGTTGCAGCGGACCTGCAGGTTTCTGGGAGTTTGTTCCAGATGTTTGGAGCATAATAACTGAACGCTGCTTTACCATGTTTAGTTCTGACTCTGGGGACAGAAAGCTGACCAGTCCCTGAAGACCTGAGAGTTCTGGATGGTTCATAATTTAGCAGCAGGTCAGAAATGTATTTTGGGCCTAAACCATTCAGTGCTTTATAAACCAGCAGCAGTATTTTGAAATCAATTCTTTGACATACAGGAAGCCAGTGTAAAGACTTCAGAACAGGAGTGATGTGATCCACTTTCTTAGTGTTTGTGAGGACTCGAGCAGCGGCGTTCTGAATCAGCTGCAGCTTTCTAATAGATTTTTTAGTGAGACCTGTGAAGACACCATTGCAGTAGTCCAGTCTACTGAAGATAAAAGCATGGACACGTTTTTCCAAATCCTGCTGTGACATTAGTCTTTTAATCCTAGATATGTTCTTTAGGTGATAGTAAGCTGATTTAGTAACTGTTTTAATGTGACTGTTTTCAGGTCAGAGTCCATGACTACACCTAGATTTCTGGCTTTATCTGTTGTTTTGAACATTGCAGACTGAAGCTCAGCGCTAAACGTTCTGCCTTGGCTCCAAAAACCATTACCTCAGTTTTGTGTTTGTTTAATTGGAGAAAGTTTTGACACATGCAGTCATTGATTTGTTCAATGCACTTACTCAGTGTTTTAATTGGAGCATAGTCTCCTGGTGAAATTGTTACGTAAATTTGTGTGTCATCCGCATAGCTATGGTAACTTATTTTGTTGTTCTTCATTATCTGAGCCAGTGGTAGCATGTAGATGTTAAAGAGAAGAGGCCCCAAGATGGAGCCTTGAGGAACCCCACATGTCATATTTGTCAACTCAGATGTGTATTTACCTATAGAAACAAAGTTGTTTCTGTCCTTTAAGTAGGATTCAAACCAATTTAGAACTGTTGCCGAAAGTCCCACCCAGTTTTCTAGTCGGTCTAGTAATATGTTGTGGTCAACAGTGTCAAACGCAGCACTGAGATCTAATAATACTCATTGAAGACCTTTACAAGTGCAGTCTCAGTGCTGTGGTTTGGACGAAATCCTGACTGGAACACACCCAAACAGTTATTTAAATGCAAGAAATTACTCAGCTGTTGAAAAACTACTTTTTCAATGATTTTACCTAGAAATGGGAGGTTCGATATGGGCCTGTAATTGTTCATTAGTGAAGCATCTAGATTTTTGCTTTTTTAAGAGCGGTTTAATGACTGCAGTTTTCAGGGCCTGTAGAAAAACACCTGAGTGAAGAGACTTGTTTACTATATGAAGTAGATCTGAGGCCATGCAAGGAAAAACATTTTTGAAAAAACCTGTTGAAATAATATCAAGGCAGCAGGAGGAGGATTTCAGAAGTTGTGTAATGTCCTCTAGGTTTTTATCATTAATCTGATGGAATTGTGTCATGGTGTTTGAATTGATTTTAAGTGGACACAGAGACAAAACATTTGCTGTACCTGATGCGGAGGCACTGACTGCTTGTAGATTTAATTCCAAATAGTCCTAGAATATCGTAGCTCCATCGCTGCTAGCTAGCTTACTAGTTAACAACAGCTAACTTGCTTACAAATTAACAACTCGCTAATGTTAATGGGCTAACACAAGCACGGATCCCGATTATATT